CGCTCAAGGGTTCCTTCAACGCCCTGGAGTAGATTTCCACGAAACATATGCTCCCGTAGCAAGACTAAGTTCCATTCGACTGGCATGTGCTATAGCTGCTTGCATCGAGATGAAGATTCGATAATTTTTGAAGAAACGATAGAATTTATTCTAAAGAAAAAGGATAAAGACAAAAATCTCAAGACTAAGACAAAGAGTATGTTGAAGCAACTGCAAGACGGAGATAAGGTATGTCGACTGAAGAAAGCGTTATATGGATTACTTCAATCAGGACGCAATTGACTGATGCAACTCGACGAAGAATTACAAAAATTCGGGGTACAACCTACTGCTGCTGATCCGTGCGTATATTATGCAGGAAAAGGAGAAGAACTGATCCTGATTGTAGTCTACGTGGATGATCTATTGATAATGTCAAAAAACACGAACTCAATCGAGAAACTGAAGCAGCACCTATCTAGGCAATTCGAGATTAAGGACTTAGGGGAAGTCCGGCATTGCCTAAGTCTGGAGTTTAATAAAATGGGAAACTCTATTACACTAAATCAAGCAGGTTACATCAGGAATATTTTAGATCGTTTCGGCATGTCGGAGTGTAAGCCAGCATCAACTCCCATGGAGATAGGCACAAAATTAACCAGGAACGAAAACCGTGATGAAGAAGAGTCTCAATGGCCATACAGAGAACTAATCGGTTCCCTAATGTATCTCGGTGTGGAGACTCGTCCAGACATAATGTTTGCCGTAAGCTACCTCAGTCAATTTAACGAATATTTCGGCAAGAATCCATTGGACCGCTGCTAAACAAATCCTACGATACATTAAGGGCACCATAAATTATCAATTAGAATTCAAGCATCAAAATAGCTCACTGATAGGATACTCGGACGCCGACTGGGGAGGATGCATTGTCGACAGAAGATACACTGAATACGTTTTTCTATTCAATGGAGCCGCAATATCGTGGAATTCCAAGAAACAAGGGACCGTGGCTCTAAGTTCAACAGAAGCCGAGTATATGTCTCTGACGGAGGCATCAAAAGAAGCTATCTATTTACAGGACCTTTTGAAGGAGCTCAATGTGTATCCGGAGCAGAAAATAACCATCTTCTGCGATAACGTCGGCGCGGGCAAGCTTGGAAAAAATCCAGTTTTCCATGCTCGTACCAAACATATAGATATCAAGCATTATTTTGTGAGAGAAGTATTGGAGAAAGGAACTGTAGAAGTCACTTACATTCCAACAGATAGGATGGTAGCGGACATACTCACTAAGGGATTACTGAAAGACAAACACAATTGGTGTGTGAAAGGGCTTGGAGTTGGCTAATCCGTCCATCCCTGGTGTGTATCGAGGGGAAGTGTTGGAACATTAAGGCGATCCACAGCCCTTTGGGATTGGCCGAATTGGATCATCCCATCGGCGCATCGATTGGCATTGTCAATGCGCCATCAGTATCCGATTATAGATCCCACCGAGAGGATCCATCTTTGTTAATTATACTGTTTCATGTTCTGTGGTCATCTTGAGACGATGAACGCATCCTTGATTTTTCAAAATATACTCTAACGTTTCATTTAATTCTTCGTTCGTTTGTTCGTTAGCCCTTTATATAATCCTGTCTGACCCTGAATTACTCTAACAGTTTACCCCCACCACTCAACTTTTTTCTTAATTTTTCGAATCTTTTTTTACCAAATTAAAGTTTATTTTAAGACGAATTCAACCATGTGTGTCAAAGTTATTTTCCGAAATATCATTTTTCAGAAATAATTATATACGCCTCTGTATGCACACCATCCGTACTCGTT